TTCCCACCGTTGGGTGTAAAATTTTTTTTGAAAAAAGGGTGCTGGCAGTTTAAGGGCCTCCCATAGCTGCTGCCAGGCACCCTAATTCTCGCCATAGCGCCCCTATATACCGCACATCCTCAAATGCTGCTTTGTCCAGAGTCTCTCAGAGGTCCATCGCCACACTCTGCCATGTGCCACTTTCAGGTCTCCTCACACACTGCTGGTGTGTAGAATTTTTTTGACATAGGGTGCTGGCAGATTAAGGGCCTCCCATATCTGCTGCCAGGCCCCTAATCTGCCATAGGCCCCTATATACCGCCTCCTCATGCTGCTGCCAGGTCCAGAGTCTGTCATGGGTCCCTGTACGGCCTCCCATTGCTGCTGTCTCCATCGCCACACTCTGCCATGTGCCACTTTCAGGTCTCCTCACACTGCTGGTGTGTAGAATTTTTTGACATAGGGTGCTGGCAGATTACGGGCCTCCCATAGCTGCTGCCAGGCCCCTAATCTGCCATAGGCCCCTATATACCCGCCTCCTCATGCTGCTGCCAGGTCCAGAGTCTGTCATGGGTCCCTGTACGGCCTCCCATTGCTGCTGTCTCCATCGCCACACTCTGCCATGTGCCACTTTCAGGTCTCCTCACACACTGCTGGTGTGTAGAATTTTTTGACATAGGGTGCTGGCAGATTACGGGCCTCCCATTGCTGCTGCCAGGCCCCTAATCTGCCATGGGCCCCTATATACCGCCTCCTCATGCTGCTGCCAGGTCCAGAGTCTGTCATGGGTCCGTGTACGGCCTCCCATTGCTGCTGTCTCCATCGCCACACTCTGCCATGTGCCACTTTCAGGTCTCCTCACACACTGCTGGTGTGTAGAATTTTTTGACATAGGGTGCTGGCAGATTACGGGCCTCCCATAGCTGCTGCCAGGCCCCTAATCTGCCATAGGCCCCTATATACCGCCTCCTCATGCTGCTGCCAGGTCCAGAGTCTCTCATGGGTCCCTGTACGGCCTCCCATTGCTGCTGTCTCCATCGCCACACTCTGCCATGTGCCACTTTCAGGTCTCCTCACACACTGCTGGTGTGTAGAATTTTTTGACATAGGGTGCTGGCAGATTATGGGCCTCCCATTGCTGCTGCCAGGCCCCTAATCTGCCATAGGCCCCTATATACCGCTTCCTCATGCTGCTGCCAGGTCCAGAGTCTCTCATGCCATGTGCCACTTTCAGGTCTCCTCACACTGCTGGTGTGTTGAATTTTTTGACATAGGGTGCTGGCAGATTATGGGCCTCCTATAGCTGCTGCCAGGCCCCTAATCTGCCATAGGCCCCTATATACCGCTTCCTCATGCTGCTGCCAGGTCCAGAGTCTCTCATGCCATGTGCCACTTTCAGGTCTCCTCACACTGCTGGTGTGTTGAATTTTTTGACATAGGGTGCTGGCAGATTACGGGCCTCCCATTGCTGCTGCCAGGCCCCTAATCTGCCATGGGCCCCTATATACCGCCTCCTCATGCTGCTGCCAGGTCCAGAGTCTCTCATGGGTCCCTGTACGGCCTCCCATTGCTGCTGTCTCCATCGCCACACTCTGCCATGTGCCACTTTCAGGTCTCCTCACACTGCTGGTGGGTTCCATTTTTTGTCATAGGGTGCTGGCAGATTACGGGCCTCCCATAGCTGCTGCCAGGCCCCTAATCTGCCATGGGCCCCCGTACCGACTCCTCATGCTGCTGCCAGGCCCGTAATCTGTCATGGGCCCCTGTTGTCGCTTGTTGGCATATTCCGCTCGTTCAGATGCTCCTTCTCCTGCTACTCCTCTTCACGGATTCCGTCAGCAGTCTTTCTTGGAATCCGTTTCCAAGAGACAACAGTTTGCGAGCACGCACCAGACGGTGCAGAAACTGAACGTCCTCCTGTCCAAGTTGCTGCTGCCAGGCTCGTAATCTGTCATGCGCCCCTGTACCGCCTCCTCATGCTGCTGCCAGGTCCAGAGTGTGTCATGGGCCCCCGTACCGACTCCAAATGCTGCTGCCAGGCCCGTAATCTGTCATGGGCCCCTGTACCGCCTCCCCATGCTGCTGCCAGGTCCAGATTGTGTCATGGGTCCCTGTACGGCCTCCCATTGCTGCTGCCAGGCCTGTAATCTGCCATGGGCCCCCCTACCGACTCCTCATGCTGCTGCCAGGCCCGTAATCTGCCATGGGCCCCTGTACCGCCTCCTCATGCTGCTGCCAGGTCCAGAGTGTGTCATGGGTCCCTGTACGGCCTCCCATTGCTGCTGTCTCTATCGCCACACTCTGCCATGTGCCACTTTCAGGTCTCCTCACACTGCTGGTGGTTTCCATTTTTGTCATAGGGTGCTGCATGGCCTCCCATTGCTGCTGCCTCCACCGCCACACTGTGGCTCCACACTCTGGTTTTGGCCCCGTGACTGGCCAAATGAGTGAAGTGTGCGGTGATTCTAAGATCGACGGCACTCATCTGCATGTCATACTGCCTGACAGTATTATTTCTCTTCCCCAGCAGACTCCAAGGGCATTTAAATTAAAGGTACAGTGTTCAGCACTAATATTAAGTCTCTCTGAAGCCTAGAAACACCCTTTTTTAAGTTAAATTCACAGCGAATATATTCGACTCGAATCAAAATTTTTCTACGAATTCGCCGAATCAGTCGAATCGAATTTTTGAATACTTCGCTCATCTCTAGTTATGGCTGATCAGTGTATTTACCTGTGTATTTCATTGTTTGCCTGGAGATCCACTTTATTCTAACAAATGGATGGTAGGGGTATAGGACAAATTCTGAACAATTTTTAATAATGCTCCCCATCTTCTGGCCAGTACTGTGACACATGAGGTCCTCTTCCTCCTTGGAGTACTCAATGATGCAGAAAGCAGCAAAAAAAAAACCATTATACTGTAATTATGATTCCCTACTTCATGGGGCAGGTCCATGACTCCATTAACTTACAATATGTCTTCCAGGTTTAACTGCTTCCCGACCGCCCTATAGCAGAAATACTGCTACAGGGCAGCACGGGTGCGCAAAATCACATATATATTATATATATATACATGATTTAGCATTTCCGGGTAGGGGACACGCCGACATTCGCGGCTGTCCCAGCCGGTTATTACCAAGGATCTCTGACGGGGAGGAGAACTGTTTTGTTTACTAACAGTTCTCCTCCCTTTCAGCCGGGCATGCTGCTTTGGATGGGCAGTGTGCCTGAGCTGACAGGGAGGAGAACTGTTACTAAACAAAACAGTTCTCCCCGTCGGAGATCCTTGGTAATCACCGGCTGGGACTCAGTGATTGACAGCCGCAAATGTCGGTGTGCCCCCTATCTGAAAATACAAAATCACACATATATATATATATGTGATTTGCAGTGTGCTTACAGTGAAGCACACACACACACCGCCCCATAGTAAAACACTCCCAGCACACAGTTAACCCTTTGATCGTCCCTCATGTTAACCCCTTCCTACCCAGTGCCATTAGCACAGTGTCAGTGCTTTTTATTAGCACTGATCACTGTATTGGTGCCACTGGGGATGTCAGTGACACCCAGTCAGTTTCCCGCACTGTCAGAATGTCTTCCGTAGTCTCGCTATAAGTCTCTGATCGCTGCCATTACTAGTTAAAATTAAAAAAAATTAAAAATTCCAGTATATACTGTATACTGCCATTTGTAAACGCTATAACTTTTACGTAAACCAATTAATTTACATGTATTGGGATATTTTTTTAGCAAAGACATGTAGCAGAATACAATTTCACCTAAATTTATGACGAAATTTAATTTTTTTCACCGGATATGTTTAATAGCAAAAAGTCAAAAATATTGTTTTTTTTTCTCAAAATTGTCGGGTTTTTTTATAGCGCAAAAAACAAGTACCACCGAAAGAAATTTGTGGGGAAAAAAGGACATAAATTTAATTTGGGTGCAGCGTTGCATGACCGTGCAATTGTCAAAGTAACACAGCACCATAATGCAAAAAATATCTGGTCAGGAAGGGGGGTAAATCCTCTGGAGGGCAAGTTTAGCAGAATTAAACTCTCTCAATCAACATTAACTATTTTTAGGCCTTATGCAGTTAGCCTTAGTAATTAAATAAAAAGATATATAAAACTTTTTTTTTTTTTTTTACATTTCTTCAGTTGCTTCTTGGTTTGGGGCCTAAGCCAAAATGATGTCATACATCCCTGGAGTCTTCATAGACATTTTGTTTTCTTTCAGCTGGAAATGGGAAGGGGCTTTCACAGCTAAGCACACCTTTCTGCCTGCATGCTTAAGCTAAGGGCAGATGGATTCCAGTAAATGCTACATGAATCATCTGCCCTTCATCAAGATGCCTGTGGTTAGAATTGCTAGAGGGTGTTTTCAAAGTGATGTCTCAGCAAAATAAAGCATAGAGACATGGATGGATGGGTGAGTTTGCTTGAAATAATAGAAATTAATTAAAGGATAAGTTCACCTGTCACCCATATTCAGGGTATAACATGTTACAAACGGACTGGCCCCTGCACCCCCCGATCCCCATTGTGACAGCTAGCTGGGGATCTTCTGCCCCCTTCTTCGTTAGCTGTCACAATTTTAAAACAATGTGGCCACGTGGCGCTCCGGCCGCCCCAGCTGCGTCACTCATTTACAGTATTCTGTGAACGAGAATACCACAAGTTCCAACAGCCTTGGTCGCTGTCAGCTTGTAGTGCTCAATTAACAACCGTGGCCAGCGGTGTATTTACTGCAAGGCAAAAAAGCTGTTCACCTGGGGTGACAATTTTCAGGCGGGTGGTGTCACCCCCCTGGAAGAAGTGACACAAGTGGCAGGAATGAGGATCTGGTGAGGCACTGCCTGAGCTCTGCTATTCTCCGATGATCTGCCAGGAGGCTGCACGCTGGCTGCTGGAGTGGGGGTGTGTGCCGCGATGGTGGTGGTGGCAGTGGGGATGTTGCTGGTGGGTACTGCAGTCAGAGTTGCGGTTTTCTGTACCTACCACTGGGGAAGAAGGGGGGAGGTATTCTTTTTTCAAGAGTACTGGAACTTCCATATCTGTGTCAACTATGAAAATAACAAAGTGTGCATGTGTCATGTACCCTATATTGCATTTTGTATTGGAATTTGTAAAACATTTTCAATGAAAAATGTAATCTTAAAAAAAAAAAGTGAGCATAAAAGTGCAACATCGAACTCCAAAAGTAGCACTCTTCTCACCAAACTACAAACATTTTTCTTAGATTGTAAGCTCCAAGGAGCAGGGCCCTTCTACCCCTTTGGTATTGAACTGTATCATTGATGTATTGTCTCCCGTTATATTGTAAAGTGCTGAGCAAACTGTTGGCGCTATATAAATCCTGTATAATAATAATAATAATGGGGACTGAGATTCTAAATCCTATGGAAGTTCCACACATGTGAATTTACTGCTATTCAAATAAAATAAATTGTTTATGAGTGTACAACGCATGCCAGAAAGGAAGTGGATAAAAACGATGTCCTAAATGTAATCACTTTATGTGTATAAATGTTATTTAACGCACTTAACCTCAAGTCTAGTGGAGCAGAGAAATATAAGGAAGTGATATTTCATCTTAACTAAGCCAACTAGGAATTCCAAGTGACTGTTTCCAGCTTCTGCGACACATGTTTACGACCTTAAATATCAGGGTAATCGCTAAAACGAGGGCTACAAATGCATGTCTTCAAATTCTCCTAGGTGCTCATTAATGTTGAACTCCAGGTAGAGGTAAAAAAAAATCACGAATCAATTCGCTTCATTGAAAAAAATCATTAAAATGTATTTTTAAATGTAACTTGCCTGTCGCTGAATTTATCTTTAACTAAGACTCCTGAACAAAAGCACAAGGAACTTGCAAAGAAGAGAGCAAAGTGCATTACTCCCTCATTGGCCGAACGGTGGGTCTTTGCCATACGAGAACTAGCAACATTTTGCCTGGTAGACAAAATCCCTAAACGGTGTTAAACCCAAAAACAAAAATGTAATATAATGCAGTTACCAATCCTTAAATGGGCTTGCTTTACGTTTCTTTTTTTTTTTTTTAGGCTTCATTTTTACCTGGCGATCCAGTCAATAACACACTGCCTTACCCTCGGTTCACACCTAAGCATTTTCGGCAGCATTTTGCAGAAACACAGTACAGTCCATTTAACATGTTTTCCTATGGGACATGTTCACATTTCCACGTTTTTGGTTCTATCGACTTCAATGGAAACGCTGCAGAAAAGCATGTAGTGCATTTTTGATGCGTTTTGCATTTTAAATCTGCCTAGCAACAAGAAAAAGAAAAAAAAGCATCAAAAACGCAATGCAGAAACGGCTCAAACGCAACCTGCATAGGTGTGAACCTAGCCTTAGGAAGTCCACACTCTGGATGGAGGAACTACGGAGACACCTGTGGACAGCATCATTGTCAATCTGTGGAGAGTATGTTAGATGTGTTAGATGTATTGGCACATTTAGATGAACTTGACTAACAAATTAAAGCCAAACTCTAGCTAATACTTTTAATCAGCTAAAGCAACAGTTTTTTTTTTTCTTTTGGGATAATAGCTTTACATAAATGAATATAAGCTGATCACTGTAAAAATGCCGTAGCAGTAAATGGTTTATCTCA